TTAAATTATAAAAAAAAAAGTAAAAATATTAGAAAGTCTTGCAAGATTCACCGAATTATGAATTCCTTTCCTCTTCCTTTGCCAAAAATGTCACCTGAGTGGTTTCAGAAGTCTTACAATTTGGAAGGAAGTTCACAGACTGTTTATAAAATCAAATATTTTGGACTAGAAGTTTAGCTTATTATTACACAGCTTGACAGCATTTCCATAAATTAGCCCTACTCTGAAGAGCTCCTGACTATGGGAACAAATTCTAAATGTTTTTCATGTTTCCCAGTGGCCCAGGTTTTTGGCTGTCACAATGCCTTTGAAGCAAACCAAACTGTGTTCATTGTATGATCCTGACTTGTGCAATCTCTGCTTAGAAAGCCTCTCCTGTGCCTCCCCTACACCATCACTGGCTGAGATGAAGCCAGAGGTATCCACGTGCTGCGAGAGCCTGGCTCCACTGGAGTCCATTTATTGCAGCCAGGTGGCTGTACCACAGTGAGCCTTACAGCTCAGAGCTGGTCAACAAAGTCCTAAGAGCAAGCCTTGCTCACGGAAGAGCTGTCAAAACACACCAGTGCTTAGACCTAACAAATCTGACAACCCTGATTAAAAAAGTGCTTTGAAAGTCGAGGAAAACTGAACACAGTAAAACCAATCTAGCAATGCACTTTTTGGAAGCCAGGCAGGGTGACTTTGCCGTGAGTGTAGATGTCCTCATCTGTGCCCTGGTTCATGTGCTTCACCAAGTTCTTCTCAAACAGGAGGGGGTGGTAAGCTCCCATGGTGCAGGCATGGTCGTGGAACTTCTGGTAATAGTGGCAAATGTCCGTCTGCCGCTTGGAAGGGAGAAATTCGTACACGTCCACTTGGTCACACAGCGTCATCATGAGCACGATGCCTGGGGAGGGACAGAGAGCAGACACCCCCATGTCACACCAGAGACAGGATTAAACATTCCAGAGGGATAGGCAGACAGCAAGGAGCAGGCAGCTTCAAGGGGGTTTCCTTTATTAACATTCAGAGCAGAGGGGCAGAAAACAAGTCTGGCCAGACTGGGCTCTTTTCTGAAGCCCTCCCTTGCCAAGTGCATGATCAATGTGATTTCAGCAGGTTGTTTACACTGACAGCCATGCCAAAAGGACAATTTTTAAGAGTGCTACCATTAGCTGTGATCTTCATGGAAACTTGGGTGGCTACCAAGCATGCACTGCAATGAGCTGATCCAAACAGCCCGTCCCAAACCTGCCTGGATAAGCAGAGATGAGACCTTTGCATTTGTCCCAGATGTGAGCGCAGGGAACATGAAAGGGCCTGTGCTGGGAGATGCTCAGGGAGACTGAGCAGCCTCTGCTCTTCAGCTCCCTGGAGCAGAGCAGTGCTGCCCTCCTGTGTCTCCTCACCCGAGGACATCACACCAGTCAGTGCTGGGCACAGCCACAGCAGCCATAGTTACTGGCTGCTTTTCTTCCAAGTGCAAGAAACAGCAAGAATATACCAGAGAAAATTCATGCAGGGTCTGAGGCACCAGGGACCATGTACAACCTGAGAACTTTAAGCCATTAAAAGAATCTAAAGTATATTTTAAACATGTTTTCATCCACCTTTTCAAATGAAAATTTTTGATCACACTTCCAGGGAACACAGAGCTGGAAACTGGAGCTCATCTATGCCCTTGAATTTGCCAAGGTGACTTGTTTAACAAAACAAAAATTTGGCAAGGTGACTTGGCCCAAAGTTAAGCCCCAGAGGAACTGCTGTCTGACATGTGTGTCTTCAAGCCCTTAACTCCAGTTAACAATTCTGCTGAAGTCATTGACTATGCTGTTACACAGCTGCTCCACATATATCCAAACAATGATTTAATAGGTGCTGGGCCTGGCAAATAATGAAACAACTCTGTTTACACAGAGACAGAAAGTGCCTCTGCCCCAGCAGTGATGGAGCAGAGGTGGGAGCAGACAAAGGGTGGAAGCACAGCAGTTGGACATTCATGGCAAACAAGACTCTATATCTATGCTGTGATTTCAAATACATGGCAGCTTCCCCAGAGGTTCACTCTTTTTTGTTCAGCTGCTCACAAGAGCTGCTTTCCACTAAGCAGGAAAACCTTTGCAACAGCAGAATGTAAGAAGCAGCTCCTTTGCTGAGGAGGGCATATCACTGACCTTTTCAGCAACTATTCAGTCTGACCTTACACAGACCTCCAGTAAGTCTATATATATATTTGTGTGTGTATATATATATATATGTATGTATGTATATTCTCATACACATAATATAAATAATATAGGGAAAAGAAACAGGCACATGTTTAGAATCCATTTACAGTAATCAGATTTATTTGCCTGACCATATCTGAGCCTGCAGGAGACACATCCTTCCTCTCATACCCTGTGGGAACTGCTCTGGTACTAGAAGCTACAAATCCTAGAGACCACCCCAGTGGTGCAGTCTGCTCTCCTGTTTCCACCTGGAACTGGGCCATGTTTGTGACTGCTGTTTCAGGGGAGTGCTGCAAAACACTTTAATACAACTGAGCTGCTGCTCTGAAGACAGGAAGCTTAAGTTTTGGCACAAGACAAACACTGTAAAAACAATTCCGATAAGCACCATAAATTTGTAGTTGTCTTTGAAAAAAGGCATCTTGGAGAGCTCTTGCCTGCAAACTGAACCAGAAGTTTAGAGGGCAATTACCTTACCAAGCATTATCTTACCAAGCATTCCTGATGATGGTGGATTAGGCTGAATATGCTCCAGGGAATTCTCCTGCAGAATATCCCAGAGCTGCCACTGCATTTTGGGATTCAGGATATAGAAGGGCTGCTCTGGATGCACTCTACGATATGCCTTATAGCTTTCAAAAAAGTTGTAATCTGGTTTTCTGTACCACTGCAAAACAGAATCAGGAGGTCAGATTCTTTATTTCTGGCCCACTTTACTGTAGCCAACAGGAAACAAGGATGAGTGAGAACTTGCTGCTGCTAGGGAAGGAGATCCTGCTACACACCCTCACTCACTGTCCCCTTGGGCCACTGGTGAGCTGACCCAGTAAAGAGAGCAGGGAAACCCCAAATCTCAATGAAGGACCATTGAATGGGATCAGGATATTTTGTGATTTCATTCTGCACTGCCCAAGACCAGATGATGTTGAGAATTCTGCCTTAAATCTTCCAGAACCAGATCCTTCTCCACATTGCAATACCAAGCATCTTATTCTGCAGGCAAGTGTTCCCAGCTCAGCCTCCTGAACCAGACTGAGCTGATTTGCATCCTTAAATTTCCCCTTTCAGTAAAAACATAGGAATGGTTTATATTTTCCTAAAATTATTCAGAGATTTTTTTTTCCCTATGCTGTAAGTATCCCGTACTGGTTTTACTGACTCTTAAACATGTTGTCCATAGCCCCTTATGCCTCCTGAAGCCCTGGGACCAAGTACAGAAATAAACATCAGGGAGAAAATAGGAAATGCAGGCCAAAGAAAGGAACGCAAAGACCTCTCAGTTACATCCAGAGCTTAAAATAAAAGTAAATAATAGACTATTCACTCCTACCTGCTTTCACTGTGAGCCTTCAGAGCTCATCACATATCCAACAATGCTTTTTTGTACTCAAAATCAAAAGTTAATTGCTAGAGGGATTGCACACCCACATGTGAAAGCTGACACAGACCTTCAGAGGGTTTCCCAATCCATTCATAATGCATCAACTATATCCCATGGCTGCCTGGTGCTTGAAATATCCAAGCATCAGCCATCAGCAAATCTTAGATTAACTGTCAGAGAGAGGAAATCATCCTATCATGAGACAACTCCTACAGCCAGCAGTGACCTCCTCCCTGTGACATCAGCCCATGGGAAAGGAAAAGTGGTGACCCATTATCCTTGGCCTGAGGGCCTTTACAGGCATCAGAAGCAGGCAAGTGTTTTCTTACTCATGCATGGGATACTCCCAGAAGTACACACAGATACATCCACAAAACAAAACAGTGAACAAGAATGGCTTTAGAATGAGTGATTGCCCACATCAGGAGGAAGTGGCTTAACAGAAGCACTTCAAAGCATGGGAATCTGCTTTTATTGACAAAAAACTCAGTCTTACCTCATGAATTTCTGCATGATATGGTGCTGGATCCCAGACAATTAAGATTCCAGTGTTATATAGTGGTTCCCTCAGGAACTGCTGCTCTTCAACAGTTACAAGCTTGGAAAACAACAACAGATAAATGATATGCAGTATGCTATCAGAATTAGCAGGCAGCCAAGCAATAAAACACCTGAAAACAGCCAGAACCACCCCAGTGCTGGTTACTGAGCATGGCACACTGTGTGCAGCAAGGACACAGCTCCAGCAATGCCCTTCCAGCACCCAGGCCAGTCCTACCTAGCAGCAAAGGACTTTGTGGAGAGTCACAAGAAAAGCCTTTGCAAGGCTTTCTATCCATCTCCAGTAACAAAATAAGGACAGGAGCCTCAGAGTGACCCAGCCTGGGTAAGTATCCTATCACCACAATACCAGGAGCAGGAGGGAACACCAGCTGCTGCCAGCAGTCACCAGGACAGTCCAGGCAGAGCCTAATGCAAACACACTGTTGGCTTTATCAAGAACCTTTATTTAACCCAAAATGTAGGCCAGCAGGTAGGTGCATGGTTTCTCCTCAGCAACAGGAGCCCTGGCAGCCAGTGCTCAGCCTACTGAGCATCAGTGCAAGAGTGGAGAGACTACAACATCCCCAGTCAATTCCACCTTGTGCCCAGCCCCCATGGCCTCTGTAGAGCAGGGAGGGGACAGCTCAGGCAGGGGAGGTTTGAATCTCCTGAGAGCAGAAATGAGAAGGAAAGCTTCAAACAGAGTTCTCTCTATACACTGGACATAACCACCACTGCTTGGGACACCCAAGGGTAACTCAGGTCTGCAGCAGAAAGAAAACCACCCTAATCAAGCAATTAATCTTCTGTCCTCCCCACCCAAAGCCATAACCTGTACAGGCACAGCTCATAAATTATATAATCATAAATAATAATAATAAATATCTGCTTCCATTTGTCCTGATTTTCTCCACAGATCTAATTATGAGCTATACAATTAGTCCTTGAGTATCCTGGCTGCCTGCATGGCTGCCCCCATAACCAGAGCAAAAGGATACTGCAGCCAGCCCAGATGGGAATTATTCCAAAAGCAAGAAGAGTTTCCTCACATCTGTTGTTAACTCTATGGGATTAGGCCTTGACCACATGCACTGCCTGGTTTCATTTCCTTACAGCAGCTGAAATATCTAGGCCACTGACAGCTGGAGTGTGCAGTGCTGCAGGTGTGAATACCTGCCTGCAGCCTGTGGACACCAGAGGCAAAGAAGGGCACAGCAGCTGGCACCAGCCATCCCCTCAGCTGAGCACAAGTGGGATGGAGCACTGCAAAGGGGCAGGAATATGGCAAAGAGCACGTGCACTTTATTTTCATTCCATTGTTTCTGTAGCTATGCCAGTTGGCAAAAGCACACAAACCCCGAGAGGGCTGTGACAGACACAAAGGCAAACAGACAAGAAACCAGGTGGGAGCACCTGCACAGCCACTGTTTGCTGTGTCCTCCCACACACCAGAGATGGCTCCTGGCACAGCCTGTGAGCTGTCAGTCACTTAACCTGTCTGCTGGAGGAATCTGGCTCCCCATTCACCTTTAGTGTCCATTTGTTGTTTAACAGCAACTGATTCTTCTAAGTAGTAAAATTCAATTAAATTACTACATGACTGACTTGTCTTGCCCAGATTTTTGATTCAATTAGCTAACTGATCTATTGGTTTTCTGATTTCTTCTTTACCCAGTTCACTGTGTAACAGTATCTTATTAATACAGCCCCTACCCTTTTAGTACATTTATTGGCCATATCACAAAGATTTCCTTCTTTCCTGCTAGCAGCAGTCAATGTCCTGGAATCTAAATATGCTCTCCCTTCCCACCACAGCCTTCCTCCATTCCACTGATGTGCTATCTCCTCTCTCTTCCTCTCTGCACTGTTAGTGCCAATAACAGCAAAGGCAGCCAGAGCAGAGAGTGCTCTCTGTGACAGCCAGAAGCCAGCCCAGTAGAACTGGAAGCAAGGGCTGGGAGGAATGAGGTACTCTGGTCATGTTCAGCTCTGCAGAAAGGAGCTCTGGCCTCCAGCATGACCTTGGCACTCCCCTCACACTTCAGCCCTTCCTTTTGCAAGATGTGACTGCTTTCCCAGGGCAAACCAATGCCTTGAGTCAGACTGCAGGAAAACATGCCATTAAAAAAGCAGCAGTACTGATGAACCAGTCAAAGCCTGAGAAAATAAATGAGGCAACATTAAAAAAATTCTTCATTTAGAATAACTACCAGGTTTGTGGACCTACAAGCATATCCTCAGATCTGGAGGTCCCAAATTTCTTGCCTTCCTGTCAGTACCAGTCTGTTAATCTTTCTGTGTGCACAGATGTACAAGATACTTAAACCATCCACACCATGTATGTCCTAGAGACTGGCCAGCAAATCACAGAAAAGGATCCTAAATAATTATTAAGAAACTGAGGGCCACTGGCCATGTGTGCCAAAGGGATATTACTCAATACAGACCAGCTTTGACAGATCAGATTCAGGAGATCCCATTTCCTTCACTCTGGCAGTGGACTGAGGATTAATCAGCAGTAAGAGCCAAAATAAAAGCAGCCAAGCCCCAAACCCATTCCTTTTCCCAGTTACAAAAAAAGCCAGCCCAGAACAAGAAAAAATGACAGCTTGTCCAGTACCTGATGCCTGTAAGAGCTCTGAGCAAGGCAAGGTAAGGCACAGCTCCTGCAGTGAGCTAAAAAGAGAATGTGATCAGGCCACCCCACTAACAAGAAGGTTTAAATGATGTCACCCAGACTAGAACACCACTAAACCATTCAATGTGCAAATGAAAATGGGTAAGAAAACCAGGCTTCCCATCCAGTGGTCTCTGAAGTTAACAGGGACTGCAGTCACAGCTGCTGAGATGAGACTCCTGCACTACAAACACAGAAAATCTTTTTCCCTGCTCAGCAGCCAGATTGATGCTGCCTTTTGAGTTAACTTTAGCCCCTAAAAACTGCAGCAATATTATTCTCCCTGTAACTGAAGTTTTCTAAGGTGGTGTCTCCATTCAGAAGGAACACGAGCCGTGACTGCAGGCTGACTGGAGGGCAGAAGCACTGTAATGACATGGCTGTAACTACACTTGGTTCAAAGTAGGTGAATCCACATGGAGAGTCCTATCACAACCACACAGTTACCCTCCTCCCTGTGCAGATAACACTGATAGCACATGGGTTATGCACATATTTTCTCTTCATATCACTGTAAGCCTGGCCATGAGCACATCCTCCAGAGAAAGTTTGTTTAAGTGATAACACCTATCTAACATCAGAAAAATACACAGAGACAGGAAAGATGAAAAAAAAAAAGAAATATTTCAAACAGGGTACAGAAGTCAGCAACCAGATGATCTGTCTGCTCAAATCAGACTGGCTCAGAAAGGACAAACTGTCACCCTTCTGACTGGGGGTTTCATGCAGGGGAGTCGAAATGCAGCAACAGCAAAGAGCATGGCAGCAAGGGAAGAGGGACCCAAGGGCAGAAACAGCATTCACACAAGGAGCAAGAATATCCTTTGAAAGACACACAAAATGAACTAGGCAAACTGGTTACACATTAGTTCTGTGTCTTCTTGCCTTTGAAGAGGATGGTCAAGCTCCTGTTGCTGTTCTGAGAAACTTCAGACCTCATTACACAGCAGCATCCATGCACTCCTCACACAGGGACAGGTGAGAAAACTCCAGGCCTACAAATCTTAGCTTTGGGGTAAGGAAAAGAAACTGCCTTTTTGGTTTGGGATTACAAAAGCTACACTTCAGCCATTCATCTCTCCCTCACTCAGTTCCTCAGCCTTCATGTGCCCAAAACCTCCTCTTCCCTCTTGTGGGGTGAGGAGGTGCTTGTACTCAGTGCTGCAATGCTGCACCAGGTCTTTTAACCTAATGACTCCTGGCCTGTTTGGGCCTCCTCCATTCTCTCACCAACACATCCTACTGTGATTTCCCCTTTTCTCTGCCATGTCTACACTTGAAGATTTTTCCCCCCAAAAAGGACAACCATGAAGGGTAACAGGTCTGTGGAGGAAAGGTGCAAAAGCTCTGAGATGTGCCTACAAGAGCAAGGGTCTATTGCTGGACAAGTGGCAGACTGACTCAGCTAATGTCCTGTGACACGTGGTTCTAACCCTGAGAGTTTGCTTCACAGCCTGCTGCTGCTAAAGGGAATCAGCAAAGGAACACCTTGATACCTACAAAGAGCTCTCAGAGGCAGGGGAGATTGAACTCTGTAAGCAAGGCCTTGCATTAAAGGCACTTTTTGCCATGCTCTGCAATGAGGTCCTGGAGCCACCAGATCCCATCCCTCTCCTGGCTGTGCACAGGCTCCAGCTTTAAAGGTGGGTCTTTTGTCAGGTGTCTTCAGCCATGTAGCAGCCCTGGTTAATGTGTTATCTACAGAGTGTGCAACACTGCTGGGCAGTAAAGAAACACTGTTCTTTTATTGAAAGTCAAATAAAGGTCCTTCATTCTTCATCCCCATCTCTGGGGCAGGCACAGCTCATCTCTTGGCACACCCCTTCTTGCTGACCTGCAGTGGCTGATTCTTGCCTCTCTCTCCAAAGGCACAGCAGCGGCACGGAGCTGGCCCTCCTGTGCCTACACAGAGCCTTTGAGCAAAGATAAAGTACAAATCACCTTGTGCCTGCTGTAAATCACAAGCAGGCTACTGCAGGTTTGCAGGTGCATGCCAGTGTCACTCCAGCTACCTCGGATTTACCAACTGTCCCCAATCCAAGGAGAGACATCCCCATCCTATAGCAATGTGCTAAGGACAGGAGAAATCAGATGGACAGCCCTGTTCTTCCCAGCTCCCACACACAGCTCTGCCATGCTTGGTGCACATTCCTCAGACCTACCTGGGAATTCACAAGACGAATTGTTGTCTTTTGCCCCACATCATCTTGGAAGCCCCTGACAGGAGCCCCATTGAACCGCAAGACGGCGTCGTGGCTGTCTGAAAGCCAAACAGAGGGAAAACCTGTGAGCCAGCAACTGGGTTTGAGTGATACCAGAAACAAGTGACATTATTCACCTGCACTTCTAATACAATCTGGCTAATCCCTGGCTTTCAGCCTAACATCTAGAAGCAGCAAGTCAGATTCTTTGGAGGAAGGTATGGCTCAAACTTCATGACCAATACACTTTTTAAAACCTGCTCTTTAAAACTACAAACTCACTACCAGATTGAGAGTACAACCCTAGTATTTGTTCTCCCTCTTCCTCCTTCCAAACACTTTACTAGGAGAGAGACCAATACACAATTCATTTACCACATGGCTGGCTGCAAACTAAGAAACCAAGAAGCAGTGGCAAGCCAGCATCCTCTCTTGCAGCCTGGAGGCTGACCAGCCCCAGAAACATGTACACCAACCACAGTGACCTCAGCCTGCCAGCATGCCTCCCACAGAAACAAACCCACTGCTGTGCCTTCAACAGACACAGCTTCTTACATGCCTTGGGATTCACTGCGTTTTCCTCTGCTGGAATCATCTCTTAAGATCGCACAGCACTGCTCCAGCACCCTCCTCTGCCTTGGCACAGCCAGCCAGGCCACTGTAATGTCCTGGAGTCTGCCTGCTGCTGTGACATGCAGGGCAGTTGTGCCTGACACCCAGGCTTCCCCCTGCCTTGTGGCTGCATTTGGATAAGAAACCCCCCCAGTGATCAGAGGGGCTGAGTTAGAGAAGCAGGGTCATCTTTCCTGCATTCACAATGAGGGCACGACTGCGACACAGCACCTGCAGTCAGGGTCTGTGGGAATTGCCAAGTTCCAGGGCAGAAGGACCCATCTGGTCCAGAACTGGGTCTTTTTGAGATAATTTTCTTGAAAATGGGAGTGCTCTAACGAGCAATGCCGGAGGATCAGTAACCCCTAGCAGCAAAGACTGATTTCTCAGCTATTTTATTCTCCCCAACAAGTGGGGCTCCCTTCCAAAGCACCATCCAAAACCAAGAAAGGTGCTGTTTCTGGAAAAAAGTGTCTCCATGCTGAGAAGTGGCTCTGTGGTTACCACTACAGACCCTTAGCTCCACATCCTACCTTGCACTAATGCAATAGAGAGTTGTGATTTCCCCATATATAACTTCAGCCAGACACCAAGCATTAATATTCCCCAAGGTTGCACATTAAAAGGGTGTTCAGTGACTGCTCAGGCAGAGTAGCTGGCTCAGTCTCTCCAGGTGGTTGTGCTACACTTGATATCTCTCACATCAGATTTTTCAGGGACAATTTATAACCTTCAGTAATACCAAGAGCCCAGGAAAAGGTGGTTGTTTACAACCCTGTGCTGCTTTGCCAGCCTCCCTTACTTTACTTAATTGCTCATTTGATAGCTTAACATGATTACATGGAACAAATATTTCATGGAACAATAACTCAGCAATCCATTGTGCTCATTTACACAAGTACTTCATTTTAATCTTGTAAGATTTAGTACCTTGTCAACAACTTCCTCCAACAACATCACATTTCCTACATGGAAAAACTGGGAAAAACCTACAGAAATACACTGAATGCTCCTGAATCCTTAATACTCACCCTGCCCAGCTCAAGGCTGCAAGTGCTCAAACTCTGCAGAAGCACCAGCAGAGTTAAATGATTGAGCAGAAAGGTGAAAGTTTGTCACCCAGGCAGGAGAAACACAGGGCAGGGACACCAGCAGGGGTTAATGGCATTTGCCTCAGGCACACTACACAGTGACCTCCCCAGCATCCATCCCTTGTGATCTGGAACAAACCAGTGCTTCAGTCAGGGGAGGGCTCAGACAGCGGCTGTGGGAACAATGAGAGGGCTTTGCCTGTCTGACATCTGTGCAGGAGCCAAAGCACAGCCCATCCCACTTGGCTGCTCCCATATCCAATCCAGAGAGCAGAGGCTGCATTCCACCACTCCAGAACATCACCTCCCACTCCTGTGAGGGTCTCCTTCCACAGGAACAGGCACTAGCAGCAGTGCTGGAGCCTAACACAGACACCCCTGGGCACAAGCCAGCTGAGCTGGGGAGGCTGTTCATCACAAGGTCACTTCTGGGCAAACCTTTAGCTCTGAACTCCAAGAGGCACCCAAACAAGCTGAGTCAAGTACTAGAAGGAAAAGTAAGAACTGGCTTCCCAAGTCTTGACCCATCTGACTTCAAACATTCCTAAGAGGCAGAAACATTTAATCAAGCAACTCCGACCTGCAATTTGTACCAGGAGGTAATGCTGCTGTTCATTGCATGTTTCATAGCATTTAAACACACTTCCAACTGCTCAGCCTCACTCTAGCTCCTGCTCCTGCCATGTGGACACAGAGGAGTTTGGGGGAGAACTTCTGAGCAAGAACTAAACACTGTCTCCCACGAGGGACTATGATTCTGAAGGCTCTGCCAAAGTTGTCCATGAATGATGCATTAAAATTTATCCATCTACCTGCTTCAGAAGATGAAGGCTACTTACAGCTTAGTGCAGGCCAAAGGAATCTGATCCAACAGACAACTTATGAATACAACCAAGCCTGCAAACAACTTCCACTTGAGAGGAAACTCCCAGACTTCAAAACTTCTTCAGTGAAGCTACATTTCAGCAAAGCATGAACCTTAACTGAGCTCCAAACACCAAAAAATGAAGCAAGTTGAGGGAGCTGCAGGCTCTGGAGAATTTATGCCTGGTACAAAATCCTCAAATGAAGACCAGAGAGCTGGTTTCCCCAGCAGGCTGCTTTTGCAAAGACAAAACGCTTTGGCATCAAAACACACCTCTTTATAATCCACAGTAAAAGACCAAAGCTTCAGCAGTTATTAATTAATGCATTAATCTCAGGTAAATGATGTCAGATGAGACTGCAAAGCATCACCAAACCTTGTCCAAAGAGATAAACCCCTATAGTCTTTTGATGGTCTTCTGGGGCACTCAAATTCAGTCAGCTGCCTCATGGCTCAGAATGAGGCAGTGCCACTTTTGGAAAGCGTTGAAGCAAGAACTCCAGAACCACTGAGGCTGGAAGGTACCTCTGAAGATTGTCTGTGCCCAGCCATCTGCTCAACACTGACTGCTCAGGGCTATGTCCAGGGGTTTTTTCCCCCTTTAGGATTTTTTTTTTAATTTCTTCCTTGAAAATGTCTTCCTGTATGAATTTTTTTCTGACTGTACAATAAGCATTACACAACCACCCCAAGCCCCCTCAAGAAACAAACACTTGAGGAACCAAGACTGCTCTCTGGTACCCAATACTCATGTAACCTTCTTCATGATGCCAACAGGATCACAAAAACCAAAAGGACTTGCTAGAATAGAGCTACCTCTTACTCCCATCTCCAGCTAGGCTGAAATATTTACTGACTTTAGAAGTTTAACATTTCAACTTGTTTTGAACACCTTTTGACCACAAGAGACTTATCAGTAAGAGCATGACAGCAGGTTACTTCTACTCAGCCCAAGTTATAAATGATATTTGACTTCATGCTAACAGGAAGATACCAACCTATCTCTTGTCCCAAGCGAGATGATTTCAGAGACCCTGCTGAGGACACGACAGCACAGCGACCCAAGTGTCCCACTGTTTCACTGAGGCTTTTCCCTGGCAGGTATTGCTGCCATTCAGAGGTACCAAAAGGACCATCTGACTTCTGTATCATGGTCACATTGACCCTGTCCCGCAGCTGGCAGAGCAGCTTCTCTGGGCTGAGCTTAGCGTTCCTCTTTCCATTGTAGCTCACGTTGTACTTGTTCATGGCCAGGTAGTTTTTCCTGACCTTCTGCAGCCTGGGTATGAGATTTCTGGATGAGCTGTCCTTATCCCATACCTTCCCAAAGGCTGCTTTCTTGGACTTTTCAGCTGCTTCAGAGGTGCTGCCTTTCACTTTGTTTTGGGTACCAAGCCACATTTTGGATACCTGCCCCAGTTCACCAGCTGCTTCATGGAAAAGGCCTTGTGATTTAACCAGGTTCCATTTCTCCAAACTCCTGTGCCCCTGAAAATCATCACTGCTGGTCTTCAAAGGATCATAGTAGCTTCTTCTTGTTTCTCTCCAGAGGCAAACTGTCAGTGCTATCAGTATCACCACAAGAACACACATGAACTTTTTCAACACATTGATGTGAACCATAGTGCACGGTGCATCCAGGTGGGACACTGGAAGCTGGCCCTGGGAAAAAGAAACAGCTCAGTCAGGGCTGCAGGCACAGGCACACACACACACAGGTAAAGTCATGGAGATCTGCCTGCAGTGGGAGGGGAGAGAGACAACATCAGGGTAATTCTAAAATTTCAGGCTGTTTAAACATCTCATTTCAAAGTCTACCACCTCAAACACCAATCAGAAAGATCTGAGCTGGCTATCAGCCATCACATGCTATGTAATGGTGAGGCTACTGCCACTCAAACCTTATTTCTACTCCCTTCCACAAGTGACAGCCAAATTTAACATTGCCAGTATCATACCAGCAGGCAGGGTAAGTCTACACATTGCTTTGCTTCATCTCCCATCCCTGACAGTCAACATCCAAATGCCAACAAATGCACTTCCAGAAATGAGTTTTTACTTGACCACAGGCTTTAATGCTAATAAAGAAGATTATAAAGCATAGAACTGGAGAGAGAAAAAAAGTTCTGAGTTCATGAGCACCAGGAGCTTCACCAGCCTAGTACTTTGGTGACCTTCCAGGGAAGTGCTCCAAGTCTGCAGTAGGCTGAAGTACACTCTCAACATCAAACCTCACTGAACACCTGCTGGAAGCCAATTAAACCCCAGTAAGGTTTGGGCCATATTTGGGCTCCTAAATGCACTTGCATGAACAATTATTCCAGGTAAGTTACCTCTGGAGAAAGCAAAGCCAGACACTGTTGTACAGCACTGCCTGTCTTCAATTGCACTGCCTCACACTAGCAGATACCTTCAGCTCCCATCATGCCATAAAAGGGGAAATCCAACAGGAGGACTGCCCAAAAAGCAGCTCAAACTAGGCTGATTTACAGGGAGCTGCTGTATAAAACATACACTGATGCATAAACACCTCACAAGCAGCACACAGGACCACAGAAGACAGAACAGCAGCTGCTCATTTCCCTGCATGGCTGCTCCAGATGTGTCCAAAAGCACGGGAACAGTATGGAGACTGCATGTGTCCTCAGGAGACAAACACATGCAGATAGTGTTCTATCATTCCTAGAGAGACACAATTTCCGCACTGAGTAACCTGCTGAAAGCAGGGCTGGGCTGCAGAGAGGTTACTGAGCTACAAACACTACCTGTGGATAAAGCAGCAGCTCTCCAACTCAAGTCATTTTTGGCAGATTTTCCTCCGTGGGCTTAAGCAGGATATCCCCAAATACAACACTTCTGTGATGTACTGAAGAGTTCAAGAAATACCTGCAAATAAAAAAAAGAAAAAAGAAAAACTTATTAAGGATGAGCCTCAAAGTTCTAGGGATGAGCAAGTATTGCCTCAGATAAGCCTGGTGGTCCCAAAGAAGCTGTTACCAAGGCCTGGAAGGACAGCAGCAAATACATTAAACACCACAAAGATTTTAAATGCCTAAATGCCCACTCAAAATGGGCATCTTCCTTCTTTATCTGAAAGCTGCTCCCAGCTAAAGCAGACAGCAGCTCACAGGCTGCCTGCTCACTGGATACACCCATAATACAGTGAAGGAAATAACCTGATGCTGGTGCTTAACACAATGAACGGGGAAAAGAAAGAAAAAGCTAACTTTTCCTAGGGAAATATCTCGCTGCCTATCCTGGAGTAATTCAGGCACTCTTGCAGAGAAGGCTCCCTGCTTTTTTGGAACAAGACTGCTTTATAAAACATATCTTAATCCGTAAGGCTTCACAAAATAGATAAATGTGTTTTAGACTTTAGTTTCACTCTGTCAAGGAAATGCAGCAAGAGAAAGGGAGATTTGACAGTACTAGCCGAGAAATCAAGAAAGTAGCTTGCTTTTACAGGAAGTCTGAGTCAATACAATGCCACATGAGCTAAATTACAAACTCTACCCTTTCCAGGACTAAATACTAAATTATTAAAGCATCATAATGCTGACAACTTATTTTTTAACTTTATTAAGGAACAAAATTATTTTAGAGCACTCCACAATGAAAAAGCAAATATTGCTCTACCTCCAGTTCTTAAACAACAACAAAAAGATGCAAGAAACACAAGTAATTCCAATAATTGAAACTATTTGCCCTGCCTTGACAAACTGTACAAATTTTCATTTCCAGAAGTACAAATGTACTAGAAGGGCACGCTGAAGTCTTTTTGAACCAGGACAGGTACAGCAGTCTGGAGAGGTGGGGCACCAGGAGGGGATGCAAGGGGGGGTCACCGGGAGGGGATGCAAGGTGGGGGTCACCGGGAGGGGATGGAGGGCACCCCTGTGCTCTGTTCTGTGATGGGTAAGGGTCCCCAGTGTTTATGGTTCCTCTCCTGCTGTGGTCTCTCAGACTGTCCCTGCTGCCTCCTGCCATCCCCTCTGCAGCTGGGACAGCCCACTCAGGGCCTGCCCAGTGCCACAGAGAACAGAAAGCAGCACATGAAGGCAGCTGGCTGCAAAGCCATTTACTGATGGGGAGAGCAGTGCTGAGTCAGCCTCCACATTGTCAGGGCTCTGCCGGCAAACCACACACACAGCAACACTTTCCAAATCCAGAGGAACACCAAAACACAGCTGTCCAGTGTCAGCTCTTCCTACTGACCTCTGAGACACCTCCCTCTGCCCACAGCCCCCAGCCGGTGAACCTTTTATTCACACCATTTCCCTTTACAAGGGGCAAGGATCTGGCTTCCAGAAAATGCAACTGAGACCTTCTGTGCAGGGAGGACAGAGCCTCAGTGCTGTCAGAGGTGCCCAGAGCCTACCACCCTGCAGAGCAGAGCTCTTTGCAGGACTCTGCCCTTCCTTTGACTTAAAAAGGTCTCCTGAGGGGTTTCCAGGTGGAGGTGATAGCAGGCACATCTCAGTAACCATCAGTTTTGCTTCTCACACTTGAATTATCTAGAAGGGTGGCAGGTTCATTACAGTGAGGCAACTTCACAGCTCTGCAGGTTCCTGCTGGGACACTCCTTGTGGTAGTGCGCAGCACAGGATGCCCAGCAAGTCACAACAACTCCTCTCCTTTTGAGGCCACTCAAAGGCACCTGGAAAACTCACCTTCTGCACAAATTATCCCCACCTTGGACTGTACACGCTGCTGCAATGTGAACAGTTAGTTTGCTTTGATTTTCAAGCTGGCAAAGTAGGTTCTGCAAACATGTTTTAGCAGAGCCACAGCATTTCAAGATACCTTCTGCTCACTATGGATGCTTTGCAATTCAGCTTAATTATTACTACTACATCACGTGATGTGATTTTATTTTATTTGCACAAGCAGTGCCGTAAGATGGGGTCCCTCTCAAGCATTCTGCCACCAAAACTGTTGTGGAGAAGGAAAGCATCTGCTCTTCCTGGCAAAGTAGGACAGCCCACAAGTGGCCACTTGTGTGCACTTCTGTCTGGCAGTTGTCAGTACAAAGGTACTTTTACAAAGGTGTTGGAAGCTTGCCACGTACACAAAACACAGAGTGTCAGCTATGAGTATGAGGAAAGAAAGGACAAAAAAAAAATTAAATCCCCCAAACCTAGAAAAAAATACTTAAATAGCTGCCTTATTGAAACCCAGAACCTGACACAGCTGTAGGATACAGCACACAGCAAGTCCTTCAAGGGTAAATTAATCCCATGCAGAGAACACAAGTGAGGGATGTGATATCTTCAAGGCAGTCAGGGAACTACGTTCTGTCCACACACTCTTATTCTTGACCTTTACTGTCCAATTATCTCACTGGTCTCAGGTCTTAACCAGCAAAGAACACAGGAGTATGAAAATCCTACTCCTCTGGTGTCCCAGAGACTGCTGTCTGCCCAGGGAGCTGCATCCAGCAGTGCCATGGCAGAGAACACTCAGCAATCCTGATTTCCACATCCCAAAGCAGATTTACCCTAAAAATACTAACAATATCCTCATCTCAAACAGCCTTTATCTGTCTCCTACAGCACCTGACAGCCGGTACACAGACAACCACACGAGTAGGGACAAAGGTATGATATTTCTTCCAGGAAATGCACACAGCTTCCCAAAAGTTGTGTCATCAGCTGCACCAATGCCCATCCTCTGCACATTTGTTTAATTGGCTCTTGAAACCACTCACACCTCCCAAACAGCTCGAGGCAATGAACTCTGCAGCTGCACACAGTGCACAGACAACCCCTCCTCCCTCTGCTTTTCCAGGCTCTGTCCCACTCATTCCAACTCCTCCTCACACAGCACCTTTTCCACATTTCAGATGCTCCTGGTCAACCTTCCAGCACCGTCAGCAGAGTGTGACCATCCCTCAAGGCAGGCACACCGGCCACCCCTGCTGAACACGCTCACACCACATGGTCCAGCACCAACACAACAATGCAGCTGATTAATTCTCCTTGTGAAACTTCCTGCCTTTATTTCCCTTCCTGACCACTTCTGAGCCCTGAGCTCTACACAGTCTGCAATGACTTCAGGCTGTTTTGCAAGCTGCCCCTGGTGCAGGAATAAATACATCTGAAAGAGCATTCTCTTACTCCTGCTAGCAGAAGTCTCCTTTGCTGTCCAGCCACCCAGGATCACCAGACTCCTCTGCAGCTGCTCAGGGTTTCTCCTGGTTCCAGCAGCCCCTCTGGTGACAAAGACAGCCAAGCTCAGAGCTCAGTCCTTCCTCCTCTCTGCTGCAGAGCCCTTGGCAGCATTCGAGAGCGGGGATCCCAGAAAACCCCTGCGGGACTTCTATGATGTTGTGAAACCTGACTCTCTGCTTTCCCCCCTGCTAGGCAGCCACTAATCCACGTCAGGAACTGTCTCATCCCACAACACATTAGGGTGGCTTTTTCTGAGGCTCCTGGTGAGCAATCTCACCAAAACCTTGAAAATTCAAGGTCTCCCTCTCTCCATGCTTAAGACCTTCTGAAAATGAGAGAAGAGGAAAGACACAGATTTGAAATGTGACCCTTCTGCAAACACATGATGAGCCTTCTTCATTAGTTCTTACATAGTCTACAGGTGTTAATTTTATTATGTTTACTGGTCTGAAGCCATGGATCCTACCAGAGACCCTCTGAAACATAACCCTGTCAAGTAACACCTTTAATTTAATTTAAATGATGACTTGAGAGACATAACCCCAGGGTTGCAGGATATGCAGGAATCACATCCACCTGGTCTACCACACCTCTCCTTGGTCCTGCCATTCATACATCAGCATCATTCAGCTGCAGTTTTCTTCTCTCTGATGAATGCACAAAAGCTTTTTACTTTTGCAAGTTTTTCCTCATTTTTTTTTTAGATAATGTGCTAACTATTTCATATTTAAACTCAGAGCATTTACATTTCTTTCCAGATTTCCTTCATTTATGCATTTCTGTCTGCACCCACAATGCTGTGCCTGCCCACAAAGTAGGAAAGCTTTGTTCCCAACTTTTACTGATGTATTTTTAAATGTTTTTATGCTGCCCTATATGAACATTTTCTACTTAACTACACCTTTCTATTCTTTTTTTGGTTCATTCTGAATGCTAACCCTTTCCTCCACCCAACGCCCTCTGTAAAGAATCTCTGAAAAGAGAAGTGGCTGGTACCAAAGGCTGAATAAGTTCCTATGTGTGTGGAAAAGAGGAAAGACATGAAAATGTAGGTCAGGAATTCTTCTGTTCAAAATAACATACTCAAGAAAACCTAACACAAGAAAAAATTTGGATTCAAAAAGTAACCTCCAAACTGTATCTGCTCTGAAAATTCCCTATTCCTGTCCTGAGGAAAAAAATATTTATCATGACCCTTAACAGTAACAAACAAACAATGTTCATGCCATTTTGCAAATGAAGAAGCTACACTTTCCACATGCTGGATACACCAGATGAAAGGCAATAAAACATTTTCCAAGTTAAAGGTCTGTCCCCCTGGAGCCAAGTTTCAGATCTCTCTGATATCTTATTTAGCTCAGCCTGTTAATTCAACTGTGTGTATCATGACTTTGTAAATATATAAGCAGGGAAGGCTTGCTTCTAGCAATTCATGGTTTCTTTCCAAAATATCACTGTGCTGTGAAAAGAAAACATCTGTTGAGCCATACATTTAGGCATTTCCAATGCCACCAAACAGAACAGGGAGAATGAGGAAACTTTACACAGAAATTTGAGGAAAAAAGCATTGGTTAAATTTCAGGTGACACATTGGGGATCTATACAGGTCACTTGTAATGAAATAAATCATTCCATTAGTCCTGCCTGCATTAATCTTTGCATGTGCCAGTGAAAATATGCTGCTATCACAGCTGAAAAAAAAAAAAATCCTCCCAG